CGGATGTATAGCCACCCCAGTGGCAAGGTAGCGCGCTGGTGAGCCCCATGTCCTGGGTTCGAACCTTGGCGCTACTTTTTGCTTTTTTCACATTTTTTCCATTTTCAGTTTTGACTTGTTTTTGCAGGAATTGGGCCTCCACGCTGGGCTTAGTTTTTTTTCTAACATTCACCATCTGATTGATCAGTGTATCCCCCTGGCCCAATTATTTCCATACATTTTTATTTATTTATTTTTGTTTTCATTTTTGTTTATTAATATTTCTTTAATACCTAAAAATCATAAAAAATATGAAATATGATACTATTGCATTTTATTTTATTTTTCACATAAAAAATATATTTTATCTTCAATATATATTAATTATTTTTCTTAATAAACTTGTAAATATAAATAAAATAGATTTAGTTTAATTTATTTTATTTTATATTTGTAAATATTAATTTTTACATATAAAAGAAAAACTAAAACTTCCTTACAATATTATTTATTATTTTTAGATACAAAAATACACAATAATAATATATACAAGAACTTTATTTTCTTCCAAAATAGAAATTAGGGTTAAAAAAATTTTAAGAATTAATTTATTTTCCTTATATTTTTAGGATTAGATTAAATTTTTCATTTCACACAAAAAAACAAAACAAAATCTTTTTCTTGCATGTACATAAGATTGCATATTCAAACATTGTATATTGTTTATTCTAATATTCGTACAAATTCGATTTGGTTGTAATAATTTATTTAGATTTACATTCTTGCATATTTCCATTCAAATTTGTATTCCCCCTCCCCATAAAATTGTTGTAATAGCTTAGTAATCTTTACATTATGCAATTTACCGCTTTACATGCCATGTTAGTAATTAGGGTTTGTATGGTAAGATCAAAACAAAGCAAATAGAAAACCCTAAATGCAAGATAAAACCAAAGCATGAAAATAACACACTTGCACACAAGCATCCTTAAGGTTTCTCCACTTGGTTTCCTTATATAAAAATAGTCATATTACACATGTGAAGTATCTTGGCGAAATAAACAAATATAAGATCATAGTCCCTCGATGACGCTATTCAAGGTTGCCTTACAAAATGATCTTAGTCCCTCAAAAATGCCAAGATACTATGCAAACATTGCTAATCATGGTTATACGATGACCCACGCCCTTCCCGCTTACATCCAAAGATAAGGTTGCTTACTAAATCAATGGTAAGACAACAATATCAAAAAAATAGGAAATGCATAAGAAAGACATTTTGAGTAGGTAGATTACTTCTAGTTACTTGCTCTATTTTCAAACAATTATCCTTGCTGTTTTCAAAACAAACACACACATTCCAAAAACATTTTACAAACATTGAAAATATTTTCAAAAGACAAACATCTTTGTATATATTATTACGAACGAGAATCATTACAAAGGTTGCCTAAACAATGGCCTCTTTTACAAAATACTTTCAAAAACCACACAAAGCATAATTTCAAAACAAAAAGCAAGTGATCTAGAAAGTAACTAAGAGCCCATGGAAAGCCATGGATGAAAAGGGTGCTAACACCTTCCCTTTTCATAATCTACCCCCGAACTCAAGAAAACATCTCAAAGGTCTTTCTTGTGCTTTTTCACCTTTCCTTTTGGATAAAAGAAAAGTCGGTGGCGACTCTTGCTAACCGCAACATTTACGATAAAATGCAAAACCCTCAAGTTAGTTCTCCCACCGTATCACACTCACCATCCATAGTTTCAAGAATAAATACACCACCAGAGAAGATTTTCTTGAAAACATATGGGCCTTCATAATTGGGAGTCCACTGCCCCTAGAATCATCGTTAAAAGACATGATTTGTATGAGCACGAGGTCACCTTCTCTGAATTCATGAGGTTTGACCTTCTTATCGAAAGCTTTCTTCATTCTTATCTGATATAACTGACCATGACACAAGACCGTCATTATCTTTTCTTCAATTAAATTCAATTGGTCAATCCTGTTCTGGACCCATTTAGCCTCTACAACTTTGTTTTCATTATTACACATAAAGAGGGAATCTGAACCTTAACGGGGAGCACTGCTTCCATATCATACACAAGAGAGAACGGGGTTGCCCCTGTTGAAGTGCAGACGAATGTACGATACCCATGCAAGGCAAAATGGAGCATCTCATGCCAATCTTTATAGGTAACGACCATCTTCTGAATGATCTTCTTGATGTTTTTATTAGCAGCTTCAACAACCTCATTCATCTTAAGCATGTAAGGGGACGAGTTGTGATAGACAATCTTGAATTCTACACAAAATTATGTTATCATCTTATTATTCAAATTTGAGCCGTTATCAGTAATAATCCTACTTGACACACCATATCGATATATAACATTGTTCTTGATAAAGCGTACTACCACATGCTTGGTGACATTTGCATAAGAAGCTGCTTCCACCCACTTTGTGAAGTAGTCAATTTCCACTAAGATGAAACGATGTTCATTTGACGCCTTGAGTTCAATCATTCCAGTCATATCAATACCCCACCTAGAAAAAGGTCATGTGGAAGAAATAATATTGAGAAGCGTCAGAGGCGCATGAATCTTGTCAGCATAAATCTGACACTTATGACACTTTTTCGCAAATTTGTAACAGTCAGATTTCATTGTCAGCCAATAGTAACATGCCCTAAGCATCTTCTTTACCATTGAATGTCCATTGGCATGGGTACCAAAGGAACCTTTATGAATCTCATGCATTAACATGTCATCTTCATGTCTATCTACGCATCTGAGCAAGACCATGTCATAATTTCTCTTGTATAACACATCTTCATTGAGGAAAAAGCTACTTGCCAACCTTCTCAATGTCTTCCTATCTTTATTCGACGCACCTACCGGATATTCCTGAGTCTGGAGGAAATGATTGATATTATAATACCAAGGTTTTTCATCTGACGCCCCCTCCATGGCAAACACATGAGCTGGTCTATCAAGACGTCAAACTGTAATTTGAGGTACAACGTTCCAAGCATTTACTTGGTACATAGAAGCCAAAGTGGCCAAAGCATCTACCATCTGATTCTCATCTCTGGGAATATGATGGAATTCAACTTTATTGAAGAAAGGTAATAATCTTCTTGCATAATCTTTGTAGGAATCAAGTCAATGTGAAGAGTCTCTCATTCTCCTTTGATGTGATTTATTACCAAAGATGAATCACCATATACATCAAGAATTTTGATACTAAGATCTATAGCCTCTTCAAGACCCATGATACAAGCTTCATACTCCACCATATTATTGATACAATCAAATGTTAACTTTGCAGTAAAAGAGATATGTGACCCATGGAAAGTGATAATCAGGGCACCAATTTCTTTTCCATCCATCAAATATCATACCCCATTAGGATTTGGGATAAGGACATTCCTCAAACAAAGGTTCATCATAATCTTTTACTTTCAAATACATCACATTCTCATCAGAGAAATCATACTTAATAGACGGATAAATTGGATGTTTTTTCTAGCATAGAATATGTGATTGCAGTTAGTAAACTTCTTGCTCAAATAATAAATGAAATATTCTTAATTGAGTATTAAATTTATAAGATTCTTTAATAAAATTAATTTATAAATTCTAATTAAATAATTTATAGTAATCTTTAATAAAGATTTTTTAACATAAATAAATATTAATATATGAGATGTAAATTTAAATTTGATTAAATGTCATATCATTGAAAATTGGATTCAACTTTAGATGCAGGCTAAAATTTCAAAAGAATTTAAAAAATAACCAAAGATTTAAATTTTAAAATAAAGGGACAAAAATTAAAAAATTAAACCACGGTTGCAATTAAGTTAATATTATTTTAATGCAAATTTAATAAATTTAATATTAAAAAAAATTAATTTACTAATTTAATTTAATTTTCTAAATTTTGTATTGATAACAAAATTAACAGAAATTATTCTAAATATAATAATATTTTCATTAAATAAACAAAAAATTTAAAACTTACACAAATCTTACTATTATAATAATAAGTCATTTTTAAGAATTCTAAGTTAAATATTTAAGAATTGAAAACAAATGCTTCAATTATCAATTGAATGCACATAATTTAAAACAACATTATATATTTTTGAAATTCTATAAAAATTACTTGGAATATTTATAAATTAAAATTATTAATATAAGTGTTTTTTTAGGATTAAGAACATTAAGAATTAAGGGATTAATATGCATTTAAATTGTTATAATTATTCATAAAGATGAAACTTTACGTAATTATTATTTATTAAATATTTTAATATTGATATTTTTTCATTTTATAAATAAATTTATTTATTTTTTGGCCAAAATATATTTCTAGTTTTTCATTTACAATAAATTAAAAAATGAATAAATTTGTTAATTTAATTGCAAGTTTAGTCTTCTATTTACATATTATTTATTAAATAATATACAGACATTTTTTCATTTTATAAATACATTTTTAGGGCAAAAATAAAAATTTTCTTGGGCAAAATTATTTGTCACACAATTTTAAAAAAATAACTATATTTACTAATTTAACTGCAAGTTTAGTCTTCTATTTACATATTTTAACCTAATCCATTTAAAAAATCTTGGTCGCTTAAAATTTTATTTCTTTTGGAAATATAATATAATTAAGATAAATTAATTATTTTTAATGAACAGATCAGAAAAAGATTTCTAAAAAATATTAATTATTATTATAAATATTTTTATTTATATATTAATTAATAATTATATTTTGTGATTTTTTAAAAATTAATTATTACTTACAGTGGGTATACCTACGAACTAGACTTCGAAGGAAGTGAGTGTAATTTTCTCAAATATATTTTCCTCAAAATAATTGAAAGCCATGAAATATTACTTTATATTTCTTAATATAAAAGAGCAGCATAATAAAAGAGATAAAATTCTTTTGATAGGATTAACACTGGAGAGAAAAGCCTCAATATTTATTTGAAGAAAAGCCTCATATGACAATAAATTCGATCATGACCGTGCCAAATATATCTACAGAATTTGAAAACACAAAACATAAAAGAAAACAAAAAAAAAGTGAAGAGGGGTGTCCTCTCAGACAAATGCCTCGTTTAGTCCTCATGATTTTTTTGAATGGAAATTTCATCAGACTCGTCATCATTATGATCATCACCGAGAACACCACATCTTACTATTACTTAAGCAAAATTGAAAAACAAAAGCATTGAAAACAGAAAACGAAGAAGATGAAAAAGTAAACAGAGGCGACTAACGGCAGCCACACTAATGCGCGGTAAGAGAGATACAGAAACTGGAACTCGGATTTGTACTTATAGGCGAGCGAGTCTGTGATTGTGAGAGGCGAATTAGGGTTTTACCAGTTATCAATCTATCAATGTTTTAATGGGCCTGCTTTTCATTCATCTGACTCACTTTACCAAGCCATAACCTGCCAAGACCCCATCTAAAAGCTGCACCCCACGTATTTCCTTATCTAAAAAAAAAATTATAGTATTTATTAAAAAAAATCATTTACCATGCTGTAAAACTCAAAATTTTCGGTAATTAAAATAAATTTTTTGATATGATTTTTTGCATTTTTGAAAAAAAAATCGATTTTACAAAAAATTGTGAAAATTTGTATATTCTGAAAAAAATATCACATTTTTATTGGAAATTTCAAAATTGTCGGTGAAAAAATATTGATAATTTTGAAGATTCCATTATTTATTTGGAAAAAACAAAAACATACTCGTAATTTTTAAATTTTCTGACTAACAACTAAAACTTTAGGAAATTTTGTCTATATTCATAATTTCGATAGTGCAGAATAATGCTTTACTCATATGTATATATCAAAAATTCCAAAATGTTTGTACTTTCACCTTTGTTTCGGTAAAAAATTATAATATTTTACAAATTATCGGTAGATAATATAAATTTGTGACACATCATTGTATTTTGAAAATACTAATATTTAAAGAAGGGTATAACGATAAAAGAATTTTAAATGTGGACTCTCAAATATAATTAGAGGGTGGCACGTTAAATCTTCTCACTTTATATTTCAATTTAGATTTATAACTTGGGACTTGACGATAGAAATTAAAATTATATATTCCATACTCCCAACAAATATACCTCCACCCTTATAATTTACATGAGTCGACTTAAAAAATAGGTTTTTTTCCACACTTTTTCTAAACCTTTCCCTTAAAAAACGGGTATAAAGGGTGTGGCTAGAAGCGCTAAATATACCTCCATCATTCTCATAGTAAATTTGGGTTTATAGACCATCACACGATACAACATTTGATATTTTTAATAGACAACAAGTCAGGTAGATGGAAATAATCAATGCACTATAGATGAGGGTGTTACTCAAGGAGATGAAGTTGTTCGTAAAACTCTCAATGAGTGGGAGTCGCTATGTAAATTGTCTCGTTCCGGAACTTACTTTTTCACCTCCATCAACTTGACTAGTTATGTTAGGTTTCAAAGAAGTCATTCCGCTCTCCTAAAATATTTGAGGAGCCTCTAATGATAAGGCTAAAAGACACTTGATGAATTTGATTAGAAAACACTCTCCAATATCTTTAATCGTTATGAAAACACACTTTGGTTTTCATAAGACCAAATCCTTCTAGGATAGAGCTGAATATGAGAGTGTTCACTATGTGGATGCGCGTGGTCAATCTGGGAGCATTTGGGTGTTAAACTAGAATGGTAGTAACAATGTAATTGTCATGCATGATGTCTTAATAGATACAATTATGACCAAGATATCATTGGGAACTTCCTCTTGGTATGTAATTGTAACGTCTTGACTTGTGACTCTACCTCGCTGATCAAAAGAACATTATTAATGGTCCTTGGATGCTAATTTGAGACTTTAAGGACATCATTCACCCGAGTGAACAAAAAGGAGGTAATTTTAATCATTCTAGAGCAGTGCTTTGTTGAATGTCAATGATAAATATAATTTAGTTGAAGTAAACATGGTTGGTGGGGATTTCAATTGGAAAATGCCTTGTACTAGTAATTGAATGGTGTGTTGCAAGTTGGATATGACTATGGTTGAATTTGTTTAGTGCATGGCTTTCCTAATGCATATGTTGAGGTGTTGTGTAAATTTCATTCTAATCACAATCTCATTCTCCTTAGGTGTGGACTTCCCCTCTAAGACAATGGGTCGCGTCCTTTTAGGTTTGGGGAAACTTGAATTACTCACCCGGAATACTCCAATATGGTCCAAACTACTTGGGGGAAATTCCTATATGGCATTGTAACTTGTCTCCAAAATGTGCAACGCAATTATATCCTTGTAAATAAATAAACTTTTGGCAATATCAGCAAACTAAAGCACAAAATTAAGAAGAGACTTATGGGTATCCAACACTCTTTGGAGAGAATAGATTTTGCAAGACTAGTTTATCTCCAACACGAGATTCAGTATGAGTAAGATGAGATCCTTGCACGAGAGGAGATTTATTGGTATAAAAAAATCTAGAGATGATTGGATTAAATTGGGAGATCATAACACCAATTATTTTCATACCAAGGCGGTAATCAGGCAGAAGAGAAATAAATTCCATAGTCTTCGTCTTCCCAATGGTGTTTGGTGCAATGATGATATTATTTCCATGGAAGAAGCACCAACTTTTTTAAAGGTTTTTTCTGCCTTACATCTTCTATACTCCCCAATAGTATATGTGACTTATCTATGGCTTAGATCCTTACTAAAGAAACCTAACACTCTTTTACTCAACGGGTGACAGTGGAAGAAGTTACCTATCTGTTGAATCTAATGCACTCTTTCAAGGTGCCTAGCACTAATGATTCCAGAGTTTTTTCTTTAAAGAATTTTGGCATATAGTTGGAGATTATGTTGTCCAACTTATATAAAATGCTTTTGTGGTAGGTGTGAGGACAAAATTTCAATGATCTGAAAACTATGTCAGAAATGTTGCTAGATGATATGGTGGACAAAGTAGCATGAAAAGTCTTCAAAAATTGGTATTTTTGAAAATTTATATTCTATGAGTCGACTCAAAGAAAGCTCAGGTCGACGCATGATTAAAAGTTGCTCTTTTGGGAAGTATTGGGTTTGCTCACTCCGACTATGTGGTCGACTCATCCTAGAAGTAATGTTTAGGAACTATGCACCGATGAATACCCCTGGAGCGGTCGACGTATGGATCTTGCACTTTGTCATGTGGCATCTTCGAGAATGCTCATGTCGAGTCATCCTTCTGTATAGGTCGACGAGTGGATCGTGAACACTGTCATATGGCACCTTCGAGAATGCTCAGGTCGAGTCACTTCTTTTGCATAGGTCGACACATGGATTGTATACACTGTCATATGGCACCTACGGGAATGCTCAGGTCGAGTCCCCTTTTGCATAGGTCGACTGCTCGCTCGTAAAAACTGTTTTTTAGTCTGTTAGTTTGGGTCTTGACCTTAGATAACATATATATACTTGTTTGGTTATTTCATTTGGTTTTAATAAGAAAAGTGAAATAGATACACAAGGTACTCATCATCTTCAACCTCTCACTGATCCATTAACAAATACACATAATAATTTTTATCGATCAAGGTGCGGAGCATGTGTCGATCAAGGTTGTACCCCAAAATTTTCCCTCCCATATTTCTCAAAATATGTCAAGAATAATCTCAAGTTGCTCAAGATGGCTCAAGAATTGGACAGTCAAATCATCTCCTAAGGCAGTCAATTCAAAATTAGGGTTTTGTGTGGCATAAAGGTCCTTACATCCAAATGACTTCAAGTGCTTCCCAATGTCCTAATATGTTCTTAAGTTCATCCATGTCAAATTTCAAGCCTTGCAGAGGAAGTTTGGTCAGTCAATTGCTCAAGAGGCCCAAAAATCGACTATGCTAGGGCAAAAGTCAACTGTGTCCCAAATACAGTCAAACTTCAAGATTTTTGTCAACATTCTCATTTTGAAGGATAATTCATCATTTGATCAAGGTTTGATCATGATTCATCAAGTATTTCTCAAGATTCATCAAGATTCAAAAGTTGCTAAATTAGGGTTTTGTAGGAAAAGTCAACTCAACTTTGACCAAGCATAACTTTCTCATACTTTATGCGAAATGACCCATCCAAAGCTCATTTTGAAGAGGATGCAATTTCCTACAATCCATATTCACACCCCAAGATCAAGAAATGCACTCACAAAAAGTTACAAATTTGGACATTATAGGTCATTTTTGAAAGTCAACAAAAACACCTTTTTTGCCAAAGCTTATAACTTGAGCATGGAATATCAAAATGAGATGATACCAAAAGGTTTGGTTATAGGACATCTCAAGGTTTCTAAAAGTCCAAGAACACTTCCAACAGTTCAAAATTGAGGAAGTTATGCATTGTTGAAGTTGGGCATTTTTCCAAAATTGCCAAAAGTCAACTATCCTCAAAATTCCAATTTTTGTCAAAAGGCCCCGCTTTTTTCCACTTGATATAGTCTTGTCACACCAAACACGTGTTCTATCTTCAATTTCATGACCAATCATTTATTTTTCTATTTTATTTAATTTTTATTGAATTAATTCATTTTAAATCAATATTAATTCAAATAAAATCCAAAAATTGATGGAATGAGATCTTTTTCATCATTATAGGCTTCAAGTATCATTATGGACCAAATCAAATTCGTGCCAAGGCATATTGTGAACAAAATCTTGGATTTGGTACAACTTTGGAAACTTTGTTAATGGTGATCAAATCAAATCTTCAATCTTCAATGCTCATGGATTAAAGTCCAAAGTTTAACCTAAATGCATTCCTTATTACTCACACAAGCCAGGCATATCAAGAACACGACCTGAAGTTGCCCAAAACGGCCAAACCAAATTGGAGAAAAAGCTTGGAAAATTGGAAACTGAAATCCACCCTAGAGCATGATTCAGTCCAAAATCTCAACGTAGCTTCCTTGTCTGCTATCCCCTGAAGCGATTGGAATCAAAACCAGGCCTTCTCCCTCCCTATAACGCATTGTAAGTGTCCACGAACATGGCCCTGTACATGGAATCGTAAATCCTTTCTCTTGCATCCTTTTGCCAATTTTTTTGTATAATCATACTTGCCATTCAATTTCTAAGCATTCTGTATTATTTAATTTTGTTTTCATGGCTTATAACCCTGTATCTGAAGCTAGGGTTCGTGTTCTTGTTTTTTAGGCATTTTTTATACAGGCAAAAT